CGATCGATCTTTCAATCAACCAATCAATCTCACGATAGATCTTTCAATCAACCAATCAATCAATCCACCGATCGTTGTGTAAACCTTTACAAGAACTGCTTATCTCCAATATTTACCTTTTCCGTTCCTGCATTTGTTAGAAGGTCCATACAAGTTGTATTTAGAATCTGCTGAGTTTGACGACCAACATTCACCATTGTTTTGTACACCAAACGCATGGAAACCCTTYCCTACCACTTTTTCATAGCATTTCTGGACTGCATCAGCTCCTGAGAAACTGCCATAGTAATTCCTTATTGATCTGTGTGACCTGTCTTCAAAACATCCCACATGGAAGTACGCTTGAAATGAAAATAATGGTAAATAGCGGTAATACAGTGGAAATGATTGGGGTAATGGGTCGGTTTTGCAACTTGACTGGTTGTTACCTTTGATGAACACATCATTCGCCCATGCACCCCCGAGGTTGTTCCGACAAACTACCGACTGACCATGTTTGTCGTACGTCGTGTGGGCGTCGGGTCCCGACCAGCATTCACCGTTATTTTGCATAGCAAAGACCTTGTAGCCTCTGCTTTGTGACTCTTGGTAGCATGATAGTAAGGGATCACTTTTTGATCGAAATAGTCCAAGATACTTGGGCAGAGCTCTGTCACGATTGTCGCTAAAGCAACCGATACGACGATATTCTGAAGGAAGAAAGGAAAATTTGATAAATGTGAGTTAAAGCATGAATGAGAATAAAAGASGGAACACAAAATAGATGGATAAATACAAGAGAAATAGGAAAACAAAATGAATGCATTATTCATTCAAGCGTGATTTGAGGGTATTTTTAATTGTTGGTAATATTTACGTACCTGGCAAAGACCAACAAAGTGAAATAACAGCAGTAAACACAAGTAAAATGGTAACTGTCCTGTGAATGGCCATAATGTTGTCCTGGTAGAATTATAGATTAAACATCTCTAATCACTATCCTTCAATTAATTTACAAGTAAATATAACATTTCTATTTCTGCGCCATCTCGAATGTAATATATTTGTATTTCAGAGTCCGTTGCCCAATAGTTACTTCTCGTTACATTTAGCACTTTTTCATCAAAAGGAAAATCACCTATCATGACGATATGAGCTGCTAAAATGTATCTTCACAAAAACGCTCGATTTCAAGATTGGTAGAAAAAGGTAAAAAAGTTGATCAAAGATTAAAGTTGAATCGAAACGAAAAAATTCTCTATCCTAATTTTACAGGTCTTTTTTTGATATTGTGCTTCATAATAGAGTTATGTGRCACGTGTATATGGGGTTTACATCTTTTTTGAAATCCAAGATTCCGCGATGATGAAAAACTTAGTCGCACAAAGTACTGCACTGAGCTGGAAAAAAGGAAACCTCCATCTTTGAACATTGAAGAAAATATTAGTTTTACCTTAAATGTGAGTGAGCGGCTGTTCTCTTTGCCACCACTGAACTTTGAGGTAAGTCGCGCAAAAGTGTCTTTTCGACCAGCTTTGGGTTATTGAATACGACGTAAGACATTTTTACTTTGCCACGGTCAAACTCCATGGGAACTGTCAGCACTCAGTGACATAGCTTTTTTTCACCAAAAAATATAAAACTTCAAATATGATTTCATCTGATTTTAAATTTCATGAAAGCTCTAATAACAATCTTTAAAGCACCGTCCACACAGCTTTTTAAGTTTYTTTGATGGTGTGGTGGAACGAAAATCAGCCATTATTACTAAAAATGATATCAGAAATAAAAAGTTGTCTTTAGATAAATTATCATTTTTAATAGTTGTAATAATTATTCAATATTTATTACATTTTAACCAGAATATTATGGCCCCTTTCTACTGATTAGGTGAAGGTTGGTCGTGAAATCACCGATTGGAATTATTGGATAAGCTTGAGTGTAATATGGTAAATTGTTTAAAGGCTGAAAATGATAATAAAATGCTGAACAGCATTGAGCATGAAGAAGATCTTAAGAGCGCGAAAGTAAATACGGATGCAAAAKATTTGAAAATTAATAAGAAGAAGCATCAATGGAAAAAAATCGCGCGCTTTAAAGGTTATAGTTTTGATGTAAATATGATGTAAGTGTCCAAACTTGTTAAATTTACAGACTTTTGGACACTTACATCATATTTACATCAAATTTTCAACCTTTAAAGCGCGCGATTTTTTCCAGTGCATTTCCATGTAAAACCTTGAAAGTGATGAAAAGTGATTAAAAAAATTGCATATAATTATAAAGTACCAATATCTATCTATTGAAGTTATTGCTATATTACTTTTTTAACACGTTTTATTATAATTTCGAATATTCTCATCTGTAAAGCGCATATGAACTTGCGGATACTTGCGCTATATCAATCTTTCATTAGATATCATYATTATTATTATTTTTAATATTATTTATATTTTGTTTATTTTAACTTTGACTTGTTTATAAGCTTATCTCTAAGTGAAAGTGCAATTCCCTACTTATTACACTGATATTTGATTATTTATGCTAGTACAGCCTCTTGCAAAAATTATGAGAATTGTTGAAATATCTAAATATCATAATATCAAGTGCATGATCCCGCGCGATGCCCTTAGTCCCTTATCTTTGTAGTTTAGTTGTTGTTTTTTTTTGGCGACAGACTTATCCGTAGTTCTGAACATTTTGTCGATGTCAACAATGAATTATTCTAGCAAACCCGCGTGTTCCGGACAATATATGGATATGGATATTATGATATTTAGATATTTAGACAATTCTCATAATTTTTGCAAAAGGCTGTATAATCATTATTATTATTATTATATCATTATATGAAGCTTACTGCAGTACATATTATGCTTATCATGATATGATAAGTGATGGGGATGACAATGAAAAGATWTTTGACATCTCAAGTAAGAGTTCTCCTTGAAAGAATTTGCACAAATCAAACTCAATCCGGCTATGCGGTAAATAAAAAGAGACATTTTACGAAGATATGAAGAATAATCGGTATCTCTACCCCATGCAGAAGAAAAAAACGTTGAGTAAAAACTGACAGATGAAAGCGAATGATTAGAACAGAAAGACTGRATCGGTTGATTTGTCTGTGGAATAACTTTTGTTTCCGTCATAAATTTCAACGATATCTTGACATATATGGGTGCATTGTGGGTAATTTCAACTGAAAAAGGAAGTGAAACGCTCTCTTTGAAGTAGAAATCGCTAGATACCGCTTTAAAATTAACCAAAACATCCACGGTGAAACACCAGTTATCAAAAAATAAGTACAATGAGCACTAAGTTATGTATGTATAGATGTTATAGAAACTTACGGTAGTTTTGCTAAACGCGCTGTATGCATTTTGACAAATGACTTTGAACGGTAACATGACAGCAACGTGCTATGATGAAATTGAGGGGGTCTCAAGTTTTGCTTCTGTAAACATTCTAAAAGGCTAATTCTTGAGATATAGGATACCTCACCTAGCAGCTACGATCTCAATCTTCTTGTGCGCCAGCGCAAAATGTCGGGAAATGAATGTACAAGATCGTCTTGAAGGACATTTAATAAAGAATTGCACAAGGCTTTAATTCCAATACTTAATAATGACTACACATGGAACGAAAGAAAGCACATTAAATTATAAAGTCAATGAGTCGTAGGGAACAGGAGTTCAAAGGTCTGTGTATTCTTTTTTTTAGTTCACAAAAAGGTCAAGAATTATATTCGTTTGTCAGCTGGCGCAGGCATCAGTTTTGTTAAAGCGTTCGCTACAAAACGAACGCCGATTGTAAGGCTGCTATTGAAGTAACGATCAATAAAAAAGTATTAAAATCAATATAACCAGACGACTATAACAACAAAGACTTAAAGTAACAGTGCTTTGTAATTAGCTGTAACTAAATATGTTTTTCCCTCGAGCACACGAGCAATTTGTGAACATGGGAACTAATTGATTCCTCAAAGAATGCATTAATGGCCAGGATTAGCTGTACCAAAAAAAGGACATTCTTATATTTTCATTTCAGGTGACAAAACATTTTTAGCTATAGACCCCTTGCATGTGACGTCAAAGCACCTTCATCTGGACGACAAACAAAAGATTTTTGCCCTCTTGGGAACTAGAATCTATTCATTTGTCCTCCAGTTGGAATTGCATTCCCACGAACTGCAAGGCGTCTATACTTCTTAATGACGGTATCAGTGATCATAGTTGGTAGACTATATGGTATGATGTATCTATTTCAGAAAATTTCGAGTACTAAAGATAGTATATGACACGAACGAAAAAGGGTTTTTACTGTTTCCAAGCATAGTTAATAGAAGGGAAAATGAAAGATGTGTAATTTCGATGTAAAGCAATTTAGTTGTCATTATGCAATGCTACATATTGCGTCAATAGCAACAATGCATTTCGTAAGTCTGGACGGCCTAAAACAACTTGGCAAAGAACCGTCCAGGCTGAGTTTCTGGAGATGGGACTGACTTGGGGCGAGGCTTTGAAAGTTGCAAAGGACCGCCAAGAGTGGCGTCACCGTGTCGCGGCCCTATTTCCCACTAGGGAAGATGGGGATAATGAATGAATGATTTCGGTCTTGGAATACRCCGAGTCAGGAMCACAACGTCTTTTAAACAGCTATCTAAAATGATTTTCATTTTACCTTAAAACTATAAAATATAATTGGTACCATTGTTTAATGCTTTTAAACGAAAACAATAAATTCAGAGTGTAACTACAAAGGATTAGTGTAGTAATTAATTCGTTTTCATTTGATCATGTAATAAAGATAGATTAGGTAGTTAATTATTTGTTGGAAAAGAACAAAAGAAAGCAATAGATTCAGAGTGTTATATCAACTAATTAATCAAGCTAATCTTTTAAAGTAAGTGAAGACTCTACCTCTACCTCCGTACCTCGATGTTCTTGATCGTTTAACTCAAATCAATCGGTACAGAAAAATGCTTTATCTTACATAAACAGCATTTATTGTCATTATTTCATTGCATTTACAGAAGACGTGACAATCATTATTTAGAATTAAAATAAACAATTCCGTTTTTTTCTTACAAATTGAAATGAAGTGGAAAAAATAATAACAGCTTTCAWACTACAAAATAAACGTGGCATATTTTACAAGAAATTCAGTTTAGTCTGTATTGTTCTTTGGAAGAAGGTAATGCACAACATTTTCATATACTACAAAGGTTATGGCACAAGCAGGAGTTACTCTGAAATACAAATATACAATMATGTTATTAGACTGGTTCAACCTTTCCTCACTGATAGCAGGTGTTCATACTAGTTTAACACTAGTTATCTCCTCTTGAAGATCAAATATTTGCAAATCAATTCATTTATTCACTCATTCATTCAACTAACCTAATTATACTTGGCAAAAGACCCTTGTAAAAGCCCTTGATTCCTTCAAACCTATATATCAATATATACTGGGTTAAACTATGCCCCATTGCCATTCATGATATTCACATACATACCTTATAATTTTTCTGATAATATCAATAGCTCCATTGTACTGCCCAATGGTGTTGTGATTCTGTTTTACAGTTGTATAAAATGTGATTAGAAGAGTCACTCTGTAAGTATATTTTGTCTGTCTGTCCATCCCC